TTGTCACTCAATTTCCTAAACATGGCTCCATCCCACAAAGTTCTTCTCACGACCACCTATCTACCACTAAGCTTCTGCCTTTATAATCTTATCCGTTTCTTCACTCAAGCTACCTAAAAGAGATACAAAGTGCTCTGCAGTTATGAAATAAAAAAGCTAATTCTTAATATACGTTTTTTTTTCAGTGAGAATGAACAGATAAAGGTCCAGCTTGAACCTTGATATACCTTGATAAATATGGACAGAGAATTTCCATTTTTCTCAGCACCATGTGTCTAAATTAATAGTTAAATTATACTAAATTCCTATTATTTAACCTTTGGCTTAATTATTTTATTTTTTATCCCCAAAAATCCCATTGCTAACTGTTGAAACCATACTTTAGCATATATTATGTTACTCAAGCACCTTAGGTCTTTGTTCTCGCATATTTTTTTAATGGTCTTTTTCTGTTACCTACACTGGATTACAACTAAGGATTAGGTTTGATATCAGAATGCTTTACGAGTCACTTCGGCAGGGTGTGGTGGCTCATGCCTGTAATCCCAGCACTTTGGGAGGCCAAGGCGGGCGAGTCACATAGTCAAGAGATCGAGCCATCTGGCTCACCAGTTGAAACCCACTCTTCTTACTAAAAATTACAAAAATTAGCTGGGTGTGGTGGGCGGGCACCTGTAGTCCCAACTACTCGGGGAGGGCTGAGCCAGGGAGGAAGGTGTGAACTGGAGGCAGTAGCTTACAGTGGCCCGATTGTGGCCACTGCACTCCAGGCCGGGGCAACACAGTGAGGACTCTGTCTCAAAAAAAAAAAAAAGAGTCACTTCAACTGGCAGTGGAGATCACCTTTTAAATAACATGCTGGGCCTGTAGATACCACCTCAGGCCGGAAGATTAAGTTCAACCTCACCAGAATAAGATCTACGAACACTGTCTGCTTCTTGACATGATGCACTGGGAAAGGCATATTATTTTTGTGTCATTCTTGCCCAAACACATAACTTCAATCTAATCATGATAAAATACTAGAAACAAACCGAAATTTAGAGACAGTCTACTAGATATTTGAGTACCACTCTCTAAAAGTGTCTGAAAATACAAGGAAAGATTGAGCAACTGTTATAGATTGGGGTAAGAAGATACAAAATCACTGAACCACCAGTGCTGGCTGGGCGTGGTGGCTCATGCCTGTAATCCCAGCATTTTGGGAGGCTAAGGCAAGAGAAATGCTTGAGCTCAGGAATTCAAGACCCAGCCTGGACAACATAGTGAGATCTCGCCCAACACCTCTAAAATAAATAAATAAATAAAAGTAAAAAAGATACAAAACCTAAATGTAATGCAATACTGTGAAGATCTTAGAATAGGGAAAGACATTCATAGGAAAAAAAATTCAGAAATCTGAATAAAGTCTGGAGTTTAGTTAATAGCATTGTATCAATGTTAATTCCTTGCTTTTTTGTAGTCCTAATATGGCTACGTGAAATGATAACATCAGAAGAAGCTGGGTATAAAGTATGGGAACTCTCTGTACTACTTTTGCTACTTTTCTGTAAGCCTAAAATTATTTCCAAACAAAAAGTTAAATAAAAATAGTGGTGTGATCAAAACACATAGGCTGTGATTAAGAAGTTCAGGGAAACTGTAAAACTGGTGGCAACAGGTTTTCAAGAGTAAGAACAGCCTTAAGTTAAAACTCCAAGCATGGCAAACAGTCAATATCCATTTCTTCTTCTTCTTCAGAAAAAAAAAAAAACCATGAAATGTTAACTGACAAAAATGGCACCCACAATAAAAGCCTCCTGTTTTGCAGTTGATGTGGACTAAAGACTAAGAGGAAGTGGAGATACCCTTAAAAGGAGGAAGAGAATCAAATAAAATAAATTCCTACCTATGGGTATTTATAAGGCAGGAACAAGCAAGCAAGCAAACTAACAAACTTCTATAAGCAAAAGCAAATATTTAAAGGTTAAGAAACATGTCAAATAAATTGGTGGAAAATTCACACAAAAAATGGCAATCTATACATTCCAATGTATTCATTCTTTCCTGTATCAAGGGAACAAATGTTTACTAAGACAAGGACTATACATTTTGTCGATGACATTTAGATTAATAAAATGCAATTGCTGTCCTCAAGGAGATTAAGATGTGGTGAAGAAGAGAGACACACAGACGAATGACTAAAAAGTAAACAAGATGTTCAAGGCTTTGATAAACAGAAGGCTGGAGGCACCTGGCAATGGCTAAAGGTAAGTAAGGAGTGGCCAAACTACAGCCCGTGGGCCAAATCTCAACCTCTGCCTTTTTTGTATAGCTATCAGCTAAGAGTGGTTTTTACATGTTTAAATCGTTTTTAAAACAGTAGAAGATTAATATTTCATAATAAGTAAATATTATATGAAATTCAAATTTCTATATCCACAAATAAAGTTTTGAATTTCATCAATGAAAATTTTGTGGACATTTGTCTTTCTGTTTCATTATATAAGAACCAACATGGTATCTTTTATTTGCCTTTTGGTCTAAAAACCTAAAATATTTACTATATGGACTCAAACAGAAAAAGGTTGCCAAATCCTGCCCTAAGCCATTAGAATTCTGTACATCAGAATTCTTGTTAAAACACAGATTGCTTGGTTCTTCACGGTGAGTTTTTGATTCGGTAAGTCTGGGATAGTACCTAAGAATTTTCTAACAAGTTCCCAGATAATGCTGTTGCTGCTGTTCCGGAGACCACACTTTGAGAATCAGTAACTTCGTTATTATCTTCTTCAAAGGACAATGGAAGATGTCAAGGATACAGATGGAGTAACAAAACACTCTAGGTAGAGAGCATATAGAAAGGCCTGGAAGTCATGGACATGGCATAGTCCAATATGGTAAATTCAAAGGGAAAAATGATGACAGTCCTTATGAAAGCAAAAGCACCTAGGGATAGAGACAGATACAGGAGAGAAGACAGACAACATCTGCAGAATTAGGTATGGGAGGTATCCAAGAGTCAAGGATGCCACCTGGGTCTTAAGCATGCAGAATGGATAGACGGTGATGGTTTCCACCGAAAAGTGTAACGCAAAAGGAGTAGTTGATTTGGAAGAAAAGCTGCAAAATTCACTTTCAGATATGTGGAGTTTGAGATGATGGCAGCTTATAAGTGTGATCTGAGCTAAAGCTACGTATTTGGAAGTCACTGACCTAGTGACACCTCCGATATGGGTGAGGCCACCAGGAAGCATGCACAGGCTGAGTAGAAGACAAGCCTGAAGGCAGAATCTTAGGCAATACCCACATTAAGGAGGCTTCAAATGCATAGGAAAAGACGGCCAACCGGAACAATATGAAGATGGTTTCAAGAAGTTGTTTTGGCTGTTTTGGAGGTCAGAGAAGTCAAGGAATAAGTAGTCCTTGGGTTTCACAGGCAAAATAATTCCTAAAATTGAGAAGTGTGTTACTGTAGCATGGGGATAATTAGGAGAAAATATAGAGGAAAAAATAGGAGGATAACTTTTATAAGGCTTGCTGTAACGGAAAAGAGAGACAAAAGACTATGGTTAGAAGCAACATAAGACATGTCAGTGGACAGATTAACTGCTTGTCTGACTATTGATAGATCTATCTATCTATGGGAGGCACATTGTTAAGGGTTTAAAGTCAAAGGTAATGGTTTGGAAAACCACAGCAGGGCTAGAGTGCTATAAGTGCCAAGTGGAACTGAGACCAAGGTGGGAGAATCTGATAACCACAGTGCACAAACTTTAGTGTCTGTCACAACCGGATGATGCCATCAAGTGACATCACAGGTGGAGCAAAAGAAGTACTTCTCTTATCACTTGCAGTGTGTGTTGTATAGCATGCAGTACAAGATTGTCTAAATCTCAAGGCATAAAGTGTAAAAAATTGTGAATTTCATCATCTTTCTTCAAGGGTTTAGTCTGGAAATAACTGTCACTTTCAAATACCTGCTTTTCCAAAAAAGATTCTGATGCTTTCCATATCCCACTGCCAGAATTTCCAGCAGCACCTCCAAGAATCATTTTTCTTTGTTCACAGACAGCTACCAAGTTATATTTGGGGGTGCTGAGGTGCTGAAAGAAACGGAAGCTCAGAACCTCATATGAGGCCAAGCTAATAACTGGAAGTCCTAAGATCAACCCATATTCTGTATGAACAAACTTTTAATTTGCAATGAAAGTCATTAAGAGAAAATAATTAAATTTAGAGCATTTCCAAAGTCAGACATATTTAAGCACATTTAACTCCTACCATATTATTTCTTCATAAATGCTGCTTCCACAATGGGGAAATAATAGAGGTCTCAAGTCAACTTATAGTCTAACAAAACAGGGTCAATTACAAAATACACAAAAAATACTACATTAATTTAGGAAGCAAATCCATTGGGCATTCCCAACTACTGCAAATGCAGGGCATTAATTACTATATATTTGTACATTATATTTTACTTTGCAGTATCAAAAATGTAGGTTGCACTTTACAAATAAAAAAATCTATGAAAATTCTCATTTATATTTATTTACATTACAATCACAGAAGTTTTGCATCTAATTATAATCATTACTAATCATTATTGTTTGATGAGGATTTATATGGCAGGAATTTTACGTGTACTATTATATTTACTACTCAAAAGCTCTATTAAATGAATACAACTACTTCCTTGAGGTGAGCAAAGCTGTAAGCAAATAGTAAAATCTCACACTATTTCTTTACACTGATGGTACTAAAATGCTTCTTACCTTTGTCGTACTTGACAGACATTTTGTTGGCCTTTACGTGTATGGCCATTTTCCCTCATGTGTCATTTTCCCAAGAAGCAATATATATGTGTGTGTGTGTGTGTGTGTACATTCTTCTTAAGAAGTGAAACAAAGGTCTAAGCATTTTGTACAAAATAGCATTTTTTCAGGTTTACATATTTTAGAAAGTTCAATACTATTTTTTCAGTACTAGAGAAAATCTGGGATTTTGGAAGTAATTACCTTTAGTGGAGTTTCAGTGTCAAAATCTGTAAAGTTGGAGAAATACATATGTAATTGGCATACAGATAATCAGCATGTGAAATTCTATATCCTTAAAAAACACAAACAATGGATGCAGTTGTGGAGACTAGTGTTTTCAGATTAATTAGAATTACTGTCTAATGCAGAGTTTACAAATGCACAGTAAAACGGCAAGCATATTTGATTTTCTGTGTTTTAACAGTTTGTTAAATTGATTTATCTCTTCCATAAGGATTACTGTTGATGTTTGTAGGCTTTGAAAAACTGGAACTACTATAATAATTACTTATAAAGAAGAATTGAGAATGAGTCTAAAATTATAAGAGATGAAGGACATTTGCAATCGAGCTTGGAATTCAAAAAGTATAATGACTTGTGTTGTATTTCCAACAAATATTTCATTTTAATTAAAATTCAGGGTTTTAAGTTCCATGTGTTTAAATACTACACATCATAATACATTCTTTTTTAAAAAATCAATTTTTGCATATTAACTATAACCACTAAGTCACTCTTCACCAAAGAACATTTTGTACAAGGTAGATATAAGGCAATAAATTCACTATTCCATCCTGTCCTTCTGGCACTTAGAGTTAAGGGAAAAAAACAGAAAATCTTCAAAAATTATTTGGATGTAAGTAGCCCAGTTCCACATATGAAACATACAGCTATTCTTTCTTTTTCCACCATTAATTACAGACAAATTCATCTTTCTCTTGTGAAGTCTGAAGTTTGTTGTTATTATTGTTAGATGAGTTGCATTCAAACTCCAACAACAACAACAAAAAAGATGAGGCCAACATTGAAATTCATCTCACAGTCCGGAATTTACTTAACGGCCAGCCTGTGCACTGTGATAAACGGAATGATGATCCGGCAACATGTCTTTATCCATGGTTTGCTTTAATTAACGCTGGCTTGTTTGTTGAAAAGATGATTAATATGCCAATGAAAATTGCATAATTGAATACCACAACACTGGCACAATCAGAAAGACACATGCAGTTTTTTGATTAACATTTATTATTATTATTATTATTATTGTGCTTTTTAATGTACTCTTCTCACTATGAAATGATGCAGTTCTTTGACCAAGAGGTGAAAGGAAACAGGGCTGAGGGCAGGATGCCTCGTGAGCAAGAGTAAAATACAATGTGGCTTAATCAGAGTGAAACAGTTCTTTGGTTGAAATGGTCTTCAGAATTTCAAATTGCAGGCAATTTCTGATTAAATATACATGCCATCCAAATATAAAAGAGTGTTACTGTGGGTGATGACAGAAGATTTAAAAAAAAAATTCTAAAAACAAGATGTTTGCATAATATCAAGAAGAGTGGTCTTGGGATTTATATCTTTGATCTAAAGATGACTTTTGAAACTTATCACTTTATTCCAATAGTAAAATTTTGAGTACATATTTTTAAATATTGTCCTTTAAAAGCCTTATTATGTTAGAAAATGTTTTCAGTGTATGATCTTAACAATGCAAGTATTATATTTTGTACACATCATTTTATATTAGATTGGAAGTTTGATTTTTAATTTCACACATTCAAGCACTTATTTACTCAGCCATGTCCATGGGCCTGGCTCTATACTTCCTACTTACAATTTAAATATATATAAGAAAGTATTCCTGCCTTCAAATTGCTTATTTTAGAAATATGAAAATAAAATGCTACAACAAACGTTGGATTTTCTATCTTCAGAATTAGCTCAATATCACTTGTTTAAATATAACATTAATAACCAAATACATATATGTGCAAAACGTATGTAAGCATACTTATACCTTTGAGGTTTTAGGCAACAATAGCTGTGGCCTGTCTATCTGCTATACCTGCAAACAAAAAGGACTATTATTCTGGACTATAGATTTTCAGTGGTTCTCTATTGCTGTTTATGTAGAAATAACTCCATACAGCATTTGAAAAATTATAAAAATGGAAAGTTTTTGCCAGAAAGTAGTTTATAAATGATAACACATCTCAGTTTAGAAATAAACTCAAATGAATAAAAATAAACATTTGATAAAATTTTAAACTTGCTAGGACATCATTTTTTAAAAATAATCTACTTTAAAGAGCTATGCAAAAAACATATGAGGTAATTAGTTGTGAGACACCTTTGTTAAAATCTTCAGATGCTTGATATATTTTGAAAATATAAGTGTAAGAATTTGATAGAGCAATTTGAATTTCTTATGATTTTAGTTAAGAATGAGAAAACAACTCTTAAAATACAGGTTTTTTGGGCCAGGCACAGTGGCTCACACCTGTAATCCCAGCACTTTGGGAGGACAAGGCAGGTGGATCACCTGAAATCAGGTGTTCAAGACCAGTCTGGTCAACATGGCAAAACCTAATTTCTACTAAAAATACAAAAATTAGCCAGGTGTGGTGGCATGCACCTGTAATCCCAGCTACTGGGGAGGCTGAGGCGGGACAGTTGAATGAACCCATGAGGCGGAGGCTGCAGTGAGCTGAGATCACGCCACTGCACTCCAACCTGGGCAACAGAGTGAGACTCCACATCTCTCTCTCTCTCTCTCTCTCTCTCTATATATATATATATATTTACACACACACACACATAGATACACACACACACATACATATATATACATATATATAAAGTTTTTACATATATGAAACTTTTTCTTGTCATAATGAATGATAAAGTGATACATATCATCTTATTACCAACAGTATTTGGTAAATTTCTTCTAAATACAGAATATTTAGCACAGGATTTTTCTCTGATTGCTGAAAATATGACCATGCAGTACACAGTGACAGTGGTGGCCTCTGTTTTCCCTACTGTGGACTCAACTACAGTGCCCTTTAGAAATGTGCTGCTATATTATACCTTCATGGGAAGAGTCATGAATATACTTTCAATGGCATCAAAACCAAATGCATCAATTCAGGTTAACTTATGAATATTACAGGTAGTTCTTAAGGTTCTTAAGGTGCTAATATCATTTGATATTAAAACACTTGAAATAGAAGAAAGTGAGTTTTCCAATGGAAAATAACATTTAAAACTAAAATACATAATGGACCCGGACAGGTCAAGTCTTTCTTAAGAGAGAAAACGGCCTCCAACATTGGAAGACAATTAGAGATCTGAGAGGCCTGGTTTGTTCACACAGAATCTCTGCTCCTACAATTCTTTTACCTTGTGCCAGTTACTTAGCCTTTCTTTTACTTTTTGAGATGGAGTCTTGCTCTGTTGCCCAGGCTGGAGTGCAGAGATGCGATCTCGATTCACTGCAACCTCCTCCTCTTGGGTTTGAGCAATTCTTCTGCCTCAGCCTCCTGAGTAGTTGGGACTACAGGCACCACCACCACACCTGGCGAATTTTTGTATTTTTTTTAGTGGAGACAGGGTTTCACCATATTGGCCAGGCTGGTCTCGAACTCCTGACCTCATGATCCACCTTCCTCGGCCTCCTAAAGTGCTGGGGTTACAGGATTTAGCCACCGCGCCCAGCCGTTACTTAACCTTTCTAAGCCTGTGTTTCCTATTCTGCAAAACGGAAATAATGAAGATCCAAATGTTGCGGAAACTATTTACTCTATTTGCCGACACTCATCTTCCTAACGATTAGCCACTGAATGGAAACGCATGGTTGAAGATAATGGAACAATAAAATGGAATGAAGCTAGATTCTTCCTAATTCTGGAGCTGTCAATACATCATGAATTGCTTATTCTAAACTCCATATACATTAAGAAAGATAACCTTTCGTATGTAAGCCAATGTTATTTTGGGATTTTGTTCACTTGCAGTTGAAACAAATATTAACTGATGACCCTAAAGAAAACTGTGAACTTCAGTTGATAATGATGTGTCGATGCAGGTTCATCAGTCGTAACAAATGTACTATTGTGGTGGGGGATCTTGATAATGGAAGGGTTGTATACATGTTGGGGAAGGGGTACATGGGATGCTTCTCTACCTTCCCTCTCGATTTTTCTGTAAAACTAAAATGACTCTAAAAAATAAAGACATGACAGATAGATACATGATTGATTGATAGATAGATAGATAGATAGATAGATAGATAGATAGATAGATAGACTTTATAGGGTGAAAGTCACAAATTAAATAAGAAAATGTGTATAGGTCATTTAACACAGTGCCAAATACTTAATTACTTAATAAAACCTGGGCAAATAGTCGATGATGATAATGACGACGACGATGATGATGATGATGATGATGATAATCTCCTGATTCATTTCATTTATTCTATAGAGTTTTTTTTTTTTTTAATTCCTATTATGTTCCAGATACTGTTCTAGTGCAGAGCTTGGTAAAAGCTGGCCCTCCATCTGCTTTTGTAAATAAAGTTTCACTGGAACACATTCATGCCCACTAATTTATGTATGGTCTACTGCTGCATTTGCACAATGTCAAAGTTTACATTCCGTAAGTAGCCCTTTATGGAAATCACTTGCTGATTCTGTAAACTGTGTTCCATAGAACCATGGAGTTCGCATTCTAATGGAGAAAACAAATAATGAATAAATTAAAACTTAGATGTATAATACGACATATTGTGGCTGGACATGGTGTCTCCCACCTGTAATCCCAATACTTTGGGAGGCCGAGGCAAGAGCATAGCTTGAGTCCAAGAATTCAACACCAGCCTGAGCAACATGGGAAGACCCCACCTCTTCAAAAAAATGTTTAAAAGCAGCTGGGCATGGTGGTACACACCTGTACTCCCACCTACTCGAGTAAGGAGGCTGCAGTGGGAGGATCGCTTGAGCCCAGGAGGTCCAGGCTACAGTGAGCCATGATTGCACCACTGCACTCCAGCCTAGGTGGCAAAGAGAGACTCTCTCTCAAAAATAAAAATATAACACACTACATATAAGTTTTTAAAAATCCACTTAGAAGGTGAATTAAGAAGCTATGAAAGCACCAAAAACCAAGAGGAGGGGGTACCTGACAAGCCATTGTGAGTACTTCATCCGACTTGTGGGTTTATCCT